CAGCCTGATATTTAAACGGCACGCTTTCAATTTTAAAATACTTTTGGAAGCATCATTTTCCGATGGTCGTTCTCAAGCACGGGAATGGTCGTTCTCAAATGCAGGACGCTCTCCGCCCGGTGTTACGTGCAGCGGTCAATGTCGTTACGGGGAATGTTCCGTATTTGAAGATATTGACACTACCATCAGATATGATGAAATAAGCTCGCTGGGAACTGCCGGTACACTTTTTGGAGGAAAAGACTGTTTCAGACAACATAATTTGTCTGTGAAATAGATATGCTCCTCAATTCGTCATTGTTTGATCGCGTCATTGCACCTCGCACAACATTGATTGAGATCCAATTGACGGCCGTTATATCTGGAAATCGTGCCCACGCACGTCAGACATGAACGGGTCGATAATTATAGTTTTCTTCGCCTTTATCACCGCACTTCTAATGGAATGGCAAGATTTTGACGACGTTATTAGGACGTCACGGATGACTGGATGACTAAAAAGTCTCCTGAAATGGCTGCCACATTTTCGCGGGCGTGTAGCTCAGAAATTTGAGCGGTTTAGGTCTTAAAAAGGGCAGGGTTGTGAACCGTACCGAACAATCTTCAACATGGCTATTTCAATTCAAAACCCTATGCAAATGTAAAACATTCCCTATAATTTTTGTGCAAGCTGGAAACCAGGTCATCGCTGTTCTCGCTGCTGCGATTGCGAGCGCGCAATCGAAAGACCAGCGGCCAACTCCATTCGGTTTTAGGGAAACTGCAATCCCGGCAATTTTCTTTCGCGCTCCTGAGATAGCAAATCGGGCAGGCCAAAATTGTGATGCAATTTGTTTTACTGGCCGAGCCTGCGAAAGAATGGGGGTTGTCAGCCAAAAAAGGTTAGCCTTTTTCACTTTTGAATTCGTTTCGACCTACGCTATTGAACGCTTATGAGCCCTCTGACTTTTTCCAGATAAGGGGCACCGTGAGAAGAACACTAGGGGGGCACATTATTGTTTCCAGCCAAGGACAGAACGGCTATTTCGTCCTAGTGCGAGGAGCCTTCCAGCTGCCATTCTGGCAACACCGAGGCGGGTCCCCCTCGTCGATGCGGGAGGCTTTAGAGGGATACATCATGCCACATATATCCCCCCCACACCGACGCGGGAGGCCTTCTGACCCGCGCAGCCGGCCCTCGATCACCGCAGAAACCCTTAATAACGCAACGAGATCCTTGATCACCGCAGGCGGTGCAATAATTTGCACATTAACTCCACCGGCACGTATTCCCGTGACCCCTCCCCTCCCCCCATTTTGCCTGCGCCACCGCTCTACCTCAGGCCAGGTTTTCGCCTCTCATTTCGTTTAACTAAAGCGTCGCCTCAGGACGAAACGCAACTTCTGCAAATAAGTGATCGCTGCCGGCGAAATGTCTGGTGCTCGAGTCACCGCGATCGAGCGTGCCTCACTGCGTTTGTTTCGACAGTTATAGAGCGGTCTGCCGGTGGCGATGCAGAACTGGCCGTGACCCGTACTGCCCGTGAGAGCATACTGAAGCTGCTCGCAGCTGCTCGCCCGCGGCTTCAGATGACGTGAATAGCTGGTAGATCACAGGGCGGAGAAGCCTCGTTCAATGCAAAGTTTCAGTGGGCGAAAGCGTATATTTGTTTAATCCAACAACGAACACGACCACAGTTTGACTACATCTGGTCTGGAATGTGATCTGTTCGCAATCTTCGGTCGGCCGACGCAACCATGGCAGTACCCACAACAAAACGCTTCCCGTAACATCGGCCGCACCCACCACACACCGCTACACACACAACAACGCAACAACGCTTGACCGGAGCGGCCCTATTTCAAACATCTATCAAAGAGTCATCATCGGCCAATAGAAGCAAGCTGTCTACTTGCCGTGGAATGTCAATAACTGAACTTTATCTAGCTTGGGACGCCTGTGATCTGATTTGCTCAGAGCATTTCTACATCGGTAATGCCGCAAGCGCATGAACGCATGACATATGTTATCACTTACTGCTAACTCTTCAAGTGAATTGCGTTGCAACCAACGCCCAGCTTATTGTAATCCGTCAGTAATCTGGAAATAGCCGTGGCACCGGCAGAAGAGCCTTATGCACCTCGTAAGAGTATCATTTCAAAAACATGCTCAAAAAACTGCTGCCATTTTGGTCTGATCAATGTGATGTAGGCAGAAACACGTAACTCATTTCCAAATATGTACCGCGAGAAGATCCGGAAGCGTCTCCCCGCTCCTGAGCGAGCATACCGAATGCAGCGCATGCCTATGGAAAAGACTGACCAAATGGCAACATAACTAGCATCGCACCATTCCCTCGTGCAACGATCACCGCTGACATGAATTAGTATGGACAAACAGGAGGAATGTCAGCTATAGTACGGGCGGCCATGAATTGATAGGCATATCCCGAGCCGCAACAATTTTATGACGCGCCACCACGTGCCTTTGGATGGGGCAATCCAACGAATATCTTTCAACACATGACTTAACGGGTAGCAAGTCTCAGACGTCGTCGCGAGTCATGCCATCTCCCACGTCACTGATGTCCATCACGGACGCAATGAGACAGGCAAAACCCATCGCAGCTAGGCAGCTTCAAAACAGGGGCGTAAGCAGAATTCTGCAACCAGCACTACACGGCTTTCCACTGAAAATTCAGTTCGACGTCCGAGGGCGTTCATAATTTGTTGTATACTGGTAAAATATGAGGACCGATGACAAGAAAATAACAATCAGCGACATTAGTTCATGCAAACTATGTTCGTTTGAATGCAGTTAAAAGTTGAAGGTTCAGGGTTTGTGACCTTCAGCACATAGCGCCGTATGAAAAAGTTTCCCCCTAGCCCTATTGGTATCACGCATATTCGTTAAGGCTATGTAATTTTTAGTGCAAGTGCACTACAGATATGGATCAGATGCAACGCATTCATAATCTACTGAGTGATACTAAATCTGCCGTATCACGCTGTGTAGCTATAGATACATTCTTTGCCATTTCAAAAGGTCATTTCCTTATACGATCTTTCCGTAAAAAACGCTCGTTGGGGCCTAAATCGACACATAACTCATTACTTTGCACTCGTACGTGCAGGTAGCGGAGGGGAGGGGCAAGTAACTTTTTCATGTAAACACGATGTCGATATTTTCAGGTAATCACGATATTGATAATCACGGTGTTATGTTCGGGTCCCCTCAAACACCGCTCCGACTCGGGGCCACTTGCCGCCACAGCACTCCTGGCACTGTTGCACTTGACCGGCACAGGAGCTCATCATTGTGTCAGGGGCCCCGAATATTGCAAATTGCGGGCCTCGGCATCGTTTTTGTTCGCAATGGCTCAGAGAAACATGGAGCCGATTGTTCGGTGTCCGTGGTCTCTGGCCGACTTAGACATCTACACTGTCTCAGGGATTCCTCAAACGATGCAAAAAGCCCCCCCCCCCCTCTCTCTCTCTCTCTCTCTCTCTGCCATTTCAGGTCACGACCCTACGGACCGCGATTCTCTATGCGACCTATAGCCAGTCCTTCCGGTCCTTATGCCCTCTAACTCGGCCTTTGATCGTCGGTTTCGGTGGGCCGCGGGCCCCTCCTTGGCCCGGCGAGCATTTCCCTTGGTCGGCTCGGGCTCCTTGCGAGCACAGAACCCTCCGCTAGGCGCTGAGGGCCCCTGACAGATACAAGATCCCCGATCAGTGTACATCACTGGCCCCTGCTTCGTAGCTGCCTGGGAAGTAGGCCGTTAGGCCCATACTGGCACGAAGCCGATTGTGCGCCTATCGACTCAGGGGGCCCCGAATAGCCCGCGTTCTTATTTTTATTCTTGTTATACAAGGGTCCGTCTTCGCAGGCCGGGACCCCTGAATCAGACTCCGACAAGCCCTTTGTGGCCTTAGACCCTCTAATCAGGCTCTTGATCGTCGGACCCGGTGGGCCCTCTAGGCTCTTCAGGCCTCCTCGAACACTGTCTCTGGCCGACTCGGGGCCCCTTACCAACACAGGGCCCCCGTTAGGTGCTGTGGCCCGCTGACACACGTAACAGCCCCGGCAAATGTAAATCGCTGGCTCCGGTTTTGTTCCTGCCTGGAAAATAAGCCCTTAGGCCCATGGAGCCATGGAGCCGACTGTGTGCTACTGTGGTGCATTACCAAAATGTAGGCCCTTATCGACTCAGAGGGTCCCCAAATGGCCCGTCTCTTGTTCTTATTCTTTTTATATGGGGGTCCGTCTTCCCGGTACGGTGCCCCTGAGTCAGACTCCGACAAGCCCTTTGTGGCCTGAGGCCCTCCAATCAGGCCCTTGATCGTCGGACTCGGTGGGCCCTCTAGGCTCTTCAGGCCTCCTCCAACACTGTCTTTGGGCGACTCGGGGCCCCTTACCAAAACAGGGCCCCTGTTAGGTGCTGTGGGGCGCTGACACGCGTTACCGCCTAGGCCAGTGTGAATCGCTGGCTCCGGTTTTCTTCCTGCCTGGGAAATAGGAGCTTAGGTCCATGCCGCCATGGAGCCGACTCTGAGTTACTGGTGGTGTATTTCCAAAATATAGGCCCTTGTCGACTCAGGGGGCCCCTACTCAGCGTGCCGGGCACTCTGGCTGGCATTGGGTCGCTTGGCCCTGCAAGCCGGGCTCCTGAATGCGACCTCTGGCCGGCCTTTTGGGCCCTCAAATCGGGCCCTTAATCTGTGGTGCCTTTGAGCTTTAACGTCTCTTGGAAGTAAACGTCTTGGAACCCATTGTAATGCCCCCTGGAATTGGGTGCCCAACATTCCGCGCGCAGACCCCAACCGTTGCGCCAACATTCCTCAGCGCGAAGCATCAGTCATTTAGCATTGCAAATGAATGTGTTTGAGGTAAAATCCATTCTCCAATAGCGCAAACAGGGATTGGGTAATTATGCAAACACGAGCACGGTAAGTGAATGCTGTGCAGATTGAAGCTGCTGTACTAACTGGCTTGGATATCAGCGTTCTTATGACGAGCACCGACGCGCTAAAGAGAAAAAGCATCGCCCTTTCTAGTTAGAGGCGGCGGCGCTGCAATTTTGGATTTCGTTATTTGTAGTATGTTCTGAGCTCTACCAGTGGCTATATATCAGACGTAAGCAGTGTGCGAGCAATTTTTGTGATCGAGTGTTTTCGATAAGCATGAAGTGAATTTGGAGGAGGTCTTGTGATCACATGGCTGGAGCCAGCAGACTAACCAAATTGTGAATGATGTCTGTTTAACTCATTTCTGTCAATCGTGTAATGGATAATTTTAATCGCTCAAATTCAGTTTTGAAATGTGCAACTATGTTACCCATGTTGCCTTATACAAGGCTTGCTTAATGTGTCTGAAATATTTTGGCAAATGTCTAGATAATTAAAAATGTGTCATGATAGGACTGCTTGCAACCCTGCTGAACCAGCAATTTTACTTGATTAATGCATATGAACAGTTAAACATTTAATATTTATGGTTGAATGTCTGCTGTCTGTTATGCTTAAGATGGCACGCTGCCCAATGCGCTAATGTGGCTTTATGTCAGCTGAGAATTGCAGGACATAGTTGTTTAGAAGTGGGTGGGATGAAAACCAGATAAGACGAATACCTTTTGAATTGTGAAAACACACTGATTTGAAATCTTCCCTCAGTAATTTAAGATGATGTCAAAATGTTCTACCTGGTCATTCATCTTATTTGTTATGGCAAGCTTTCCTTAATTTACAACATACATTTTGCTGTTGTATTTTATGCAGATAACACAGATAATTTTCATTAATGCATTTGAGGAGCCCCCAATGTAGCATAAATCTAGGATTCCTTTCTCAGTGTTATCCACTTTTTTCAAATTCTTAATTTTACACAGATAAACATATACACAAACATGTGATTGAAGTAAACAAACATCTTGGCCTGATCTGGCTTTTGGCCATTCCAATCAGAGTTTTTGGACAGGCTTAGCTTTCTTTTTTCATTGGGATTCTCTAAGATCATGTGGGGAATTCTCCTTTCCCATAAGACATGACACGGACCATTGATGACCTCACACATGACAAATATTATCTCATGCATGACTCAAGAAGTCTTAAGATTTAATTGGATGATCTGCATCAGTGATCTGGAACCTCCTGTCAGCATGATAAGGTTTCCTGAAATTTCAAGGCTGTTAAAAGATATGTTTAATTGCTGGACAAATGGTGAGAATGGACAGCTGCCCTCTCCCTTGTACCTGTCACACTCCACCTAGCTGCATCACCCATGGCAAGAATCTTGGGCAACATTTGCTATCTGTAATTGATGTTCTTACTGTGGAATGCAGCTAAGGTTTCGCACCCCCCTTGTTACTGAACTTCCCTAAGGCTGTAGTATGTATACTTGACCCTTATGACTCCTCAGTCCATCATATAAGTAACCATTGCAATATATGCAAGAGTGAGATATTTGCATGGTCAAATAGCTTCTGAATTTGACATGCCAAATAAGTAACAGGTCTGAGAAATACTGGCCCCTTCTAGAGGCTTTGGTTACCACAACTGCAGATTAACATCTTTGGTGTAAGGTATATTTTCTTTTCTTTTTTCCAAAATTCTTCAGTAAATAAATATGCATAAAACTGGGTATTCTGAGTTCAGCATTCTCACAACTGAGATAACTGAAGGTCATTTTGGGTTGGCTTAGTTGGTAGATCAGTGGACTCTCAGAAGGCCCTAGTTTGAATCCCAGCATAGGGAGAATGCAGGTTATGATCAATACATGGGTGGAAGCCAAGCACCATCCAGTCTTTCTTAGAACTAAATAGCATCTGATACAGCTGTAGAATTTGCCAGCCAAAATGTTGCACACAAACACCAACACACCAGATCAACAACAATAATTGTAACAATTAATCCATGCATGACATTTGTACCCTGTCTCAATCCTTCTGCAAACCTGGGACCATGTTTTGCTGATTCGCCGATACTGCGGCAAACTTCCAGATCTCCAAACTGCCCTCTTACTTCACCACCATAAGCACTAGGAGTACTTTGCTCAGGGCACAATCAGTGAATGCTCTGCTTAGCATGGCCTGGATGGACAATGCAAACACATTGCAAGCTGTTAGGATGCCATGCATATGTTGGAACAGTACAAGCTATGATTAGTTACATCTCCTCTTACATGACACCTTACGCACTGTGTGATGGGCTGGTCATTCTGGATACCTTTCAGTCACCATGGGCGGCACAGCAAGCACGAGACGAATAAGTGTCAAAAATGAAGATACCTCTGGCGTCATAAAGGTTTGTTGACGCGCTATTCTTGCTGTGATCTATTGCCTTGACATATTAACAGGAGGCGAAGTAATGCCGTGTTTTTCTGTTTCTTTTTTATCGCGATGGTTTCGAGCCACGAGAGCGGCATGTTGTCTGATGATCAGTATCAGTCAGCTCAGTCTATTGTGCGTAGCATGAGGGCACGCGTGTTCCGCACTTTCATCCCGGAATATAAAATTGCCACTTCAACTATTTCTATGTGGGTTTTAGAAGCGTTATAACTGCCTTCTCATACAGCGTCTCTAACTAGGAAGTGAGGCTTTCATTCAGCCCCATTCAATAGTCCAATGGCCGATGGTTGTACTCCGGGACCTCCGTCCAGTCGCCTCCGTGATTTTCCATGCTCTAGATATCGGACTCGGTCGTCAACCGTATCCGCAACGAGCTGCAGAACCAGCCGGCGGATGAGCCGCAGCAGAGCGCCCGCCAGGCGCCCAAGCAGTCGCTGCCTCCTCCTCCGCCCCCGCCGCCGCCGCCTCCGCCGCCGGCCCCCGAGGCGTCGCCGCCGCCGGTGCCGGAGCGGCCCCAGCTGCCAGCCGTGGAGCGCCGCCCTATGTCGGCGCCGCCGCCACCGCCGCCGGCCGCGGCTGGCCGCTACTCTGAGGAGGCGTACATCTCGCTGATGAAGCTGCGCGACGAGAAGGACGCCGAGCTGCGCCAGATGGAGCAGAGCTGGCGCAACAAGATCAACCAGATGGAGCAGCGCCACGCTGAGCAGCACAACCTCACCACGGAGGCGTTCCACCGCACGCTGGCAGAGGTGCAGGGCCTCTTCCTGAAGGCGTCCACCACGCCCATCTGCCAGGACGGACAGGTGAGTCGCCCGTCCCGCCGGCGATCCGTCCCCGCCGGCAGGGACGAGGAGCGTTCGGTCGGCGGTTTTGGGATGTGTGGTTGATTATGCCCTCGGCTTTTTTACGCAGGCAGATGGTTTCACGTCTGCGTTTGCCTGGATGCGGTCATCTTTGCAGTTTGCAGTTATCCGCGGTTTGAGCATGAGGTGGCAGCCTTTCCCGATCATTTGACTTCGACTTGGCAATCTTGGAACGGCGTCTGATGGACGCGATGAGGGTCGGAGAACGTTCTTCTACCACTTCCTTTGTGTCCAGCTTGATGCCGCAGGTTTCGCCAGGGAATCCATGCCTCACCAGCGGTGTTGCAGCCCGGGGAGCTGAAACCCAGGCGTCGCCCATGGAGGTGGCGTCCATATCCGGTCGGGGACTGGACGCCCTTCGCGTCACGTCATCCGGGCTTGGACTTCCTGTTTCAGTCACGCTCCGTCGCGTGGCTCGAGGGCATGACGCCTAGCCGTCGGGCCATTAGACCGAATGCCGTAATTAGGACAGCAACGGCACTGGTGTCTAAAGAGGACTTGGATACGTGCCTTCCCAAACCCGGGCCGACTTCCTCGCAAACTTGTGTTGCCCCCGATGTCCTGGAAGCATTGACATGTGCTCTTGATGGTAACGACGGTCCACCGTTACTCCTCAGGAACGCGTGATGAAGTGTTACGCAGAGAACTCCAAACAGAGTTTGAAGTGCTCTCAAGAAGTGCAGCAGTTCTCAGAGTGTGTGGATCTAACGCGTCTGGTGAGCAAATGTCTAACATACTTAATGATTAAATACACCCTCATCGTTAGCCCTGCTGAATCGATATATCGTAACAGGAGCATAGCGTTGAATAGATGGCACGAATGGTTTCGCGCCGTAGTAGTTAAGTATCCACGAGTAACAATATTTCCGCTTGGCCGTTGGCTTTTGGTACCCTTGAAACATTCACATGTCTGACGTTGTCTAACGTTTTGAATGAAAAAAGCACATTTATCTTAGTCATCCTGATACTACATTATCTTTCCTGGCCGCATATGGCGACTGCAAAGTTCCAACCCAACTCGGCTTGGCCCAAGGCCGTATCCAGGACGCCGCCTTGGGGAGGCGGGCGGCCCCCCGGCCGGTGTATGGGTAAAATTTAAAAAAGATGTCGACTGGATTTTAACGTGCGTCTGTGTTTTCAGAGTCGTCTAATGAGATGAAGCGATCCTGGCCGTGCCGGGTCTTAGAGCCGACTGATCCATTCGGTCCGTTATGACGGTGTGACAGCTGCGCTGTGCTGCGGTGTGACGGCTGTCGCTGCTGAGAAGCACAGCCGCTGTGGGGTGATATATCCGCGCTGACTCTGTTCAAATATAGCCGCTGGTGCCGGAGTGTAGTCTGATCACGCCACCGCTCGCCGACCTGATCGCGCCATTGCGACATGAGCTGAGTACATTTCTGTGTATTGAATGCTAGCGAGTGACTACTGAGACAGGAACCGGGGGTAGCGTACAGGCTTCAGGCTTCACATGAAGTCTCTGTCCCTGGGTGGATTCTTCTTCCTGTACTTGATTCCCTTGCTGAAAATGGGGAAGTGTCGGTTACGCCACGCAATTGGGACGTCCAATGCACCAAAAACGCTTGCCGACATTGGCATGGCATGAACGAATCATGGTGGGATAATTCGTCGTTTTTAGCAAAGTTCAGCGACTTTGCACAACTACTGTCTGCTTACTGACCGAATGGACATAAAAAGTAATCTTAGAATTTCTCGCGATCCGTCATAACGGCAGAAGAGTTAGTTCAATACCCACATTGCATGCTACCGTAGTTTGCTGTACTCGTTCACAATGAATCTTCGAGACCGGCATAATATAAATTGCAATCTTGTCGCCGGTTAACAGCTACGGAACAACTCTTAAATGGCCAAAGCGTCACGGCCCACAGATACAGAAATCGCTTGTTTCTGCGATGCTGACACGCGACAAGGTCACACGGTCGTGCACAGAATAGGGTCTGCCTTGAATTTAGTGGACCCCTCCCCGCCCGATAACGATTGGCTAGTACGAGTGAGCCACTGATGGTGAGCAGAAATAAATGGGTGAATCAGAAACGACTGGGATTCGTTGAATACCGTTGTCATAATGCATCCACCAATAACTTTGAAACAGTTCCACCTCTGAATGCCAAGAAGACGCAGGCCAGCTCAACACGATGTACAGATTCTGTTGTTCAATCCGCACCGTCGGCGTGGCACTCACTGTGGGAACCAGATGTGTTTGTTGGTGTGGGTGAGCTTCATCAGCTCCTCCCGGACCTGTTTGTCGGAGCGTCTGACAAACATGTGCTTGTAGCGCTGCACGCCCTTGAGCGACGAGTCGAGCCCGTCCGTGAAGGGGTTGCGCAGCGCCGACTGGTCGGCCGCGCTGGTCTCCGGCGCCGGTAGCGGCTGGGTCAGAGCGCACGCGGGTCAGTGGCGCGCCCCATGCCACGGCCAGGCGTTGGCCGCAACACGCAGCGAGGAGATACTTCTGGCTGCCCCTTTTGGTTTGCGTGTAACTGTTGTATTGGCCGATTTGGTCGCAGGGACTTAAAAATGCGGCTACGGCACAACCGTGGGCGATCGGGAAGGTGATGGACAGATTCATCCACGTCTTGGCCACGCCTAGGGGCGGCCTGCAGCAACCGCGGCGGTCTTACCTTGGAGCACTCGTAGGGGAAGGCTGGCTCCGGATGCCAGCACACGATGGTCGAACCGTTGTTGGAGACGACTACCTTGTGTTCCCCTGCCCTGTTCGCACGCAGGTTGAGTGCATATCATGTGACAAGGCAAAACATAGAAAGAAATATCAAGTACAGCGCAGTGCAGCGCATCCTTAAAAACAGACAATTAGGTAAAAATATGTTACTGACTTACAAATTTCACACTGATGGCTGTTTTTCCATTGACAGCTGCATTAAGACATGCAGGCTTGTTTGCAGCTGTGTGAAATGCAAAATCTCAGTGTGCACTGCCTTTTGATCATTTTAAATTTACTCATTACAACTTTCCATGTGTGGACATTCGTCATTTCTTCAGGGGAAAAAGCAACAAGATCCCAACGAGCTGATCCAAAACTCTACAGTTGTGACTTGACAAAGTTGGGCTGGCCCAACTGGCCAGTGAAACAATGTAAACTCAATGTGAGGAGTTTTCATCACCTTGTAAAGCTGATGTGAAGTCTGTCATCAGGTATTATATGGAAGCAACAATGTATGCAGGTGAGGTGATGACTTGGTGCTTTACTTTTTGTAAAAGCATGTTAGAAGTAAGATGAAGTTTGTTTTTACTTTTCTGGTAACTTTGTTATCACTGATTTTCATCTAAGTGATCAATTGGCAATTTTGGATGCCTGCTGTATCTCGTGAATGACACTGATGTTCTTTGAGACTTACCCAGAATTGGTGGAACTTGAGATCCCCTGCATTAAAATGTCTGAAATATAAGCATTGTTTTCAGAATAAACTTAAATCAAACTGCAAGGAAAATACAGGATGATTATCAAATCAGCATGACTGAACTCAAAAGCCAACCAAAAATATGTAAAAAGTACATTGAATACCCACTGGTGGTTTTCAAGATATTGCCAGATTAAAAAACTTGATAAAAATAAAGCTCATCTGGTTACACTCAGTTGCTAAATTAATTGAAAACCAGATGCAATGCCTATGGGTGGCCTTATTTGGGCCCAGTTGGTCAAATGGTTAAAATATGGTCACAAGATTGCTGATCATAAATATGGTCACAAGATCTTTCAAGGGAATTTACAAAAATATCAGTCATAAAATATGGAAGAACACTTACATCTTGAGGCATGGGGCCTTACAAGCATCCTGATTGATGAAAGATGCAGTGCCATCTCTGTACTTCAGACAGCTTCCCCCACTGTGGCAAAAGCACAAGATGATAGATCCACCTGGTGATGCCAAGAATTACATGAAATCAGTGACAAGAGGATGTGGTGCAATATGCTGGCAAACAAATCTCTGCATACAAAAAAGGATGTGATTAATGGCCACAGTGGATGTGCAGAAGTAAAATGCAACTCTGCTAATTTACCAACCAAAACCATGTGTGGCATTTAGCACCAAAACCACTATTGCTCAGGCTTACATACAACTTGATAATGCATCCCCTTACAGGCATTAACAATGAAACAATGAAGGCTTGAAGATCTAACTTTGGAGCTTAACATGGATAAAAACTATGCAACTGGGTATAAATTCTGCAAAATAAATGGCCTGAGTCAAACAAAGTTTAACAGCTAGTAATATAGAGCAATGATTAACCTGAAATTGAAATGTTAATTCCACCTCATTGGAAAAACCATTGGTGCATGGCAATGGTTTTTCATTCCTTGACCAAAAGCTTCAAACAAGTGGATGAATGAACACCAGTTGGGAACCTGCCATGGTTGCAGGGCACACTTCAGCATTATCAGTAATCATCTTCTGTTGTGGCTTGAATGGACACCAAGATCAAATTTGGAGCATTATAAACATCAGTAGAAAAAGCCAAGCTGGTAAGGTCAAACCTACCCTGAAGAACAGAAACATGGGTCTTCCCCAGATTTCACACACTCTTAAAGTTGGGGTGGGGCTTGAGACCCTAACTTGGTCCATCCACCTTTGAAACACAAGTGAGTCAAATCTGGATAAAAAAAATCATATTTTAGCGCGTTTTGAGGGTGCGGTTTGTCATGCTTACAGATGTCTGGTACCCCTCCTCCCCAGCACCCGACTTATGGCACAGAACTACGTCCGGTGCACACTTCACAAAATAAACATCACTCTTCAGCTGAGCGTGGGAAAACCAATTTATTCATCACATCAAATTTAAATGAACAAACCTTAAAAAAGCACACAATTTACTTGACGTGAGCGCTTTTCAACCTAAGACATCGTTCCAACCACGGCCATAAACACAACAGTTCCATTCGATCGCCAGTATGCGATCCCACTCTTTTGTCCTTGTAGCGCCGATAAACCCGACAGAGTAATAGTAATGAGAAACAACAAGACAGGCGGATATGATAAGGGCATATGAACTTTAAATAAGTATTTACAGAAATTTTTTATTTAATTGAAAAGACGAAGATACGTTTTCCTATATTTCAAAAGCACAACCATTCGTTTTTAATGCAAGGTAGTGCTCGACGTCCACAGCACTGAAAAGATGATTGTGGTACTGACGCATATATGACAAAATATGACGCTATCGAGATGCTGTGGCCGAATCCAGGGCCTCGCTCATTCGCGAGCGAGGCCCCAGATTCCCGTAGGCGTGGGGCGGGCACGGCGGGCGGTGCGCGCCTGAATGGTGAGGCGGGAAAAGGTACCCTAGATAGTTGCGTTCTCTCTATGCTCTGGACCCAGGATTTGGTGCTCTGGATCTCGCACTGTTGAGCGCTGAACTCAAACTAGGCCAAATTGTTATGCGAAAGTACTTTTCTGCACGATATGTTTTCAGAATACTTTGTTCTGAATTATCTCCGCTTCATAATTGCCTGACACATTGGCTCAGTATGAACTGAGGCAGGGTATTGCACATGCTTCAGACTCTCATTGTGTGGAATGATGATAAAGATGATGGTGATGATCGCTGTTTCATAATTCCCGGAAACATTAGCTCGCTATGCACTGAAGTAAGGCATTGAGCATGCTCCAAGCTGGTTGTGTGGAATGATGATGTACACGTACTGAAATTTTTGATGTCATGTCTCTACTCTGCCTGGCATGCTGGGCATAACATGCATTTTTTGCAGCCTATGAAAAGGTTAGGTAAGGTTGGACATATAATCTTTTAATTGGCATACAGAATCATTACAAGCTGATTTTATAAGTTTCCCAGCACTGAGTATTTTAATGTGCCATTGAAAGTTTAAAATAACTCCACCATATTTGTTTTGGGTGAAATGCTTCAACCATGGCCTTGTGGGAATGACATTGTGAATCTGTCTTTGTGACTTTGTTTATTCAAGTTTTTGTGTTGACTATAATGGTTTATACCATTCATGTATTTATTTGAAAGTTATTAATAAAAGGATTCATTCAAGTTTAAAGAAAATGTGCTGTAATAATGGTAAATGTGGCAGGCACTTTTAGGTCTCATGTGGGGTCTGGGTTAAAATCTCAGATTTGTCATGGCCTCTGAGCAAAAATATGGTAACTGCAGTTGTTAGCTTTTCAACAATGTGTGCTACATTCTCTTGTATAGAAATGCAGTCTGTTAGATTATCATTTCAACTTGTGTGAGCATGTGCATGTGATTGTGTCATGTGAATATGTATGGGAATTGTCATTATATGAGGTATGATGGCTATGTGTATCACTCTCAAATGGTTAAATGCTTATGCTGTTTAAACTGATGAAATGTCAACATTTCAGAAAGATGTAGGTTATCAAGCAAAAGTGGTTACCACATTGTCCAAGCCATTCTTGATATGAGGCTGCAGTAGAGTGTAATGCCAGGGTCAGCCTCAGCATCAATCTGTTTTCATACATGTATTATTATTTTGTGTGTATTGAGGGAACTGTGAGAAAACCTTCAGTAAAAGTTTGCTGCCATGCTTGGAAGACAGCAAGATGCTGCACTGTCAGAGTGGGCTGAAGAAATAGAACAACTATTAGGGTGTGAAGATTATGCTCAAAAACCATCAAGACAGCACAAGGAGGCAACACTTGCCTTCATAGCCAAACAAGAACTGGAGAAAAGCAACAGAAATGAAGAAGTGCCTGACAGCTCTCATCTGTCATCAAAACATGAGCAGCAAATACATGGGACAAAAGGCTCAAGATGCATCTTTTTCTTTGTATGTTTGTGTGCTCTATCATTTGCAGCCATCAAATTTGGATACTGCAATGGAAAATCACTGAAACTCTGCTGGAATAACAACATTCAAGACTGGATTTACCCTGTGCTGAGAGGGATTCGGCTCATCTCTTTGCCGGTTATTCAGTATTTTCCATCCATCACAGGTGATATTTTACTCAATTGTTGTTCTGGGATTGTTATTTTTCATTGCTACCATAATGAAGCGGGCATCCAGGATTGAGTAGCTTTTGACCTGTCAGTGCCTTGCTGGGCATTATCATGATATCCAGGCTCTTGCTGAAACTGTGGGAGGCTGGCAATCAGCAGCTGGTAATTTTGTTAATGAGTGTAATCATGCTAATAATTCCAAGGGTTTAAATTCATTTACTGTTATCATACCTTATGGTTCAAGGTGACTTTGGCCATGATGTATCATCAGCATTTATGTTTTGTTAAAGTGGTCTGCTAAACCTTTGCTCAATTTTGCTTTGAATGCAGACTGATGTGGCCTGAATATCAAGCCACATGCTGGCAAAATGTCAAGATTTTCTGAGCTGAACCAGGTATGATATAGGACAAAAAGGACTTCATCTTCTGGTTTTTTGGCTTTATAATTTGAAAATTATCATGTTGAGCTAACATTATAACTTTATAGCCAAACATTATAGCCAAACACTATAGCCAAACACTATAGCCAAACATAACATTATAGCCAAACATAGAAACATAACATTATAGCCAAAATATGCCAGGAGGTACTAGTTGAACAGCATTGTAATGTTCAATAACTGTCAAGTTAAAAGTACTCAATCTTTCAAGTTGTGCCCATTTCCAAGTCATTCTCAAAACTCAGTCATGAGAATGAGTACAGCTCGATTTATCAAGTACCATCAATATGATTGTTCTTTAGCACTACATCGTCTTTTAATAACTACCTCCTTAGATATCGATTTTGTATAAGGGTATGGGTAGGGTAGTGGTTAAGCTGTGTGTGTGGAAAACCAGATGTACGGGTTTTGATTCCCACGGTTCACTGTTTCTGCCAGGGTAAGAGGCAGGTGACGCCATGTGGCTTCTGCAGCTGAATGTGTCGTAAAACCCCAGTGACGACGGGATATTCAAGTGTGTTAGCTCGACACAAGTGCTTTCAACCCACAATCTTGCACCTTTGCATCTGTCAGTGGCAAAGTAGAACCGCTTTGTAATGTTTTAAGTACGAGATAGTGAGAACTGCACTTGGTTGAAGTTACTAAGAGGCTCACTCCGACCATGGTGAATGTTGTGAATGTGAATGTGAAAAAGCAGTCATAGATAACAATTGTTTTGGTGTTGTTTTGTCATGACCACGCAGTGCCGTGAATTTGTAGCATTCCATCCACTCAATGGCGCCTTTGGGTTATGGCAGACATTCACGAGGAGACATGTCTGGTGGACAACCCCCTCTACTGGGACCCGGAGGTGGACTGCACCCTCTGCAAGGATGTCGGCGTCGTCACATTGCCGCACGCAGAACAGTTCGAAGACCTGTTCTATCACAAGGGAGTCCCTGTGGTGGTGCAGGTAAAGCAGGAAACAGGTATTTTCTGAAAAAAAATGCACCTCCTATTTGCAGTTACCGTGCTTGAAATGGCTTTCTAATGTTTTGAAGATTACGTATGCTTTCTAATGTTTTAAAGATTTCTAATGATTTAAAGATAAGGTTGTTTTCTCGATTGGTTTTCACAAACCGTGCCTTCCGTTTGTTTAAATTACGGTAGAATGGTGACTGGTATCACCTGTCACTAGCACTGTCCCCACTATCGGATCTTACGTCTAGCAGCAGCAGCAGCACTCAACTTGAGCAGCACTCCCCTGTATTTCCGCCGGTGGCATGGTGGGCGCGCTTGCTGACCTGACCCCAGGCCGCTGACCCTGACCTGGCCTCTGACCCCGGCCCGTACTGCGCAGGACGCGATCGCGGCGCCGGTGAGCCTGGCCGCCCTGACCCGGCTGTACGCCCTGCGGCGGGACGACATTGTGGCCGGGTCGGCCCGACGCCTGCTCGGTCTCGACAGACTGATGGCCGCGGCCCCTGCGGAGCTGGCTGCCCTGCCGCACTGCGTCCAGTGGTGCGTACGAGCGCCGTGTCTGCCGGCAGGTGGAAGCCCACTCATTGGTCGAAAGGAGGCACGCTGAGCCAGGGAAAGGACCTCTTTGTTACGGGGAAAGGCACACTGATTGTTTGGAAGGGTCCTCAGTTTCCAAGGGAAGGCAACATTTTGTCGAAGAACAGAGCAACGTTTAGGCCAAGAAAAAATAATTTGGACATAGGAGCACTTGGAACATGATAGCCGCGGACAGGCGTGATGTCTGGACAGCTGCATTTCAGCCAAAGTGACCATGGGGCTGATGGAGAGGCCTGTTGGACCTGAAGAGCCGAGTCCATTGCCCTCCAAATGGTCCCAGCCGTGTGCTCTTCCCTGACCTTGTGCCGTCCGCAGGCGTCTGCTCAGAGTGTCGGCTGTCAGACATCTGCGCCAGCTCTTCCGCCGCCCCTATTTCGTCTCCAAGAAGACTGAGGTGTCCTTACATCGCTACATATATCTCTGCGGCGCGGAAGGCGGCAGATTTCCTCTGGTGAGATGGGCAGTGTTTGTGTGGCAAACATCATGATCTGGCAGCAGATAGCGTGTTTGGCCATCCACTGGATTCATTTGTATGATTTGTTTCCAACAGGAAATGAGCAAAAATTACTGTGTTGTGTTTCATCAAAATAAATGCTTTTGACGCCACATGTTTCACACATCAGGCATCCTGTTTGATATGCCTTGTTATTTTGTGTAGGTAACCGTGAAAGTGGTATTGCAAGTGACATCTGTGATCTGCGGGACATTTCTGTTTGAAAAGTGTTCAGCTGGCCTGAAAGTGACGCTTAGCTTATTATGGGTTTTCTAAAGTGTTTTTGTGTAAAGACTGCACTGTAAGTCTTTTTTCTTTTTTTCCTTGACTTTGCATACTATCTTTTAATCTATGCACCCTGTGAGATGCCCCATGCTGGAAGTGTGTTGGATTCGTAGAATTTTGTGCGTAACTGTGCTGTGCTCGTGTCTGTTGCTAGCCGGTGACTGAGTTCGCCAATGTCTGGGTCAGCCAGCACAGCGGCACGCGCCAGATTCAGCTGACGCCCAGCAGCGAGTGCAGCGCCACCTGTCGTACGGTGTCGGCACTTCTGCGCCCCGGAGATACCCGTGAGCATTGCATGATGACCTGGACTTTTGATAGTTCTTTGGGTCCTGGATTGGCGGTCATATTTTGAAGCAGGATTAAGTCGAAAACTTGACGAAAATATCCCGTTTTGGTAAGCCAAAATTTGATCAAGGATAGGGACGTCAAAGCTCTGTTCAGTTGTGCAATGCATAGAGTGTTGTCTGTTGAGCCATGCTTCCGTTCCTGTCTGCAAATAGCCAGTGAAGATGTATTGCAATGGCTTGTGCATCGTTGCATCCGTTGGCGTCCTGGGCCGGCAGTGTTCTACAACTGGCGCTACTGGCGGGCGTCCTCGCTGCCGATGCACGGCCCGCTGCCGGTCGGCTGGCGACGGGCAGGGGACGGCGTGGAGCGCCCCCGCTCAGGCTGAGACCGAACGCGACCAGGCCGTCGACGCGGCCGCCAGACAACCGCCGACCGCGGTCGGTCAGGGGATGAGGGAAGCCGACGCGTCATTGGCAGGCGCCGGTCACGTGACGGGAGAGAGTGACCAATCGCCGACGGATGCATTCGAGGCGGCAGAGGAGGTGGTGCAGCCGCGGAGGAAGGGCTGTGAGTCGGCGGAGGCGGCGGACTGCGCTGCCGGCGAGCCAGCCGTGGGCATCACCTTCATCGGCTCCTTCTACTGAGCTGGAGCCAGCCATGAGCAACACCTTCAGCGGCTCCTTCTGAGCTGGAGTCAGCCGTGGGCATCACCTTCATCGGCTCCTTCTACTGAGCTGGAGCCAGCCGTGAGCATCACCCTCATCGGCTTCTTCTACTGAGCTGGAGCCAGCCGTGAGCAACACATTCAGCGGCTCCTTCTACTGAGGCTGGAGCCGGCGGTGAGCATCACTCTCATCGGCTTCTTCTCCCGAGCCGCGGTGCTGGAAGACACGTGCCGGCTGGGGCTTCGGCCCGCTTTTGGCAGCTGTATGCACATCTGTGGTAGCTACGTGGGGGCCCGGTCCCCGTTCTGAGCGCGGCAAGTGGAGTCATGCCGTTGACCGAAGACCGCGTGCGGCCGCCGCGTGCTAATGCTTTAAAACGTTTACCGTCGGTCACAGACCGTTTTTCCTCGAGCCTCCCTAGTCGTCCACGGGTCACAGGCGGTATTTAACCCGCGCCCAAATGAAACGATCGCCAAATAATATGCCAATTATCACCGAAGGCTGCGACCCGCGGCCGGTGGTGGTGTCTTCCACAGGGTTGAGGCGGAGGACGCGTTGATACGTTGGTGGAAGTCGCCACGATGCGTGGCGATATGTATTAACCATGGGACGAAGCGGCTAGATAACTTCCGAGGATCGTGTATCTGTATCGTGTATCGTAACATATTACGCTAGCGGAGCGATGCGTACTGGTGTAACTGATGGTGTCACAAGGCGGCAGTTGATTTTGATGGTGTCACAAGGGGGCAGTTGATTTATCGACGGTAGTCACGTGTCACGCCGTCCACGCGCACGTTTACGTTTTGTTTGGTGGATCACGTGCTGCACCCTCGAAGAAGACCAGACTAACGCGTATGTCGCTACCCTGGATGAGTGTATTTCGCAGTGCGTACTGCGTTACTACCGCAGAGCTTGTAATCTAAGTCACGTGCTCACTAGTCATCTACGACGTCACCTGCTGCTCTAGTCCCGAGGTTGTTGCAACATGCACACAAGTCCGGTGCATTTCGGTGCGCATGCCTGTCGCCTTAGTTATGCTGCAACAGTGTGCTGCTTGTTACGGGCCGGCAGTAGCAAAAATATAGCTCACCGTGATCGCCACGAATCGCCACGAACCGCAGTTACCCAGACAGGCGTGACCCGTCTGGGCAACTGCAGACCAACGTGATACTGTGTCTGTGAGTGATAGCGGACCAACGTGATACTGAGTGATAGCCCGTGACATGTCATGGCACGGCGCAATGGACAAACGGTACAACCGGTCAGAACAGCGATGAGGGGTCTCGTTCGCCCACCTGGAGAGCGGGCGCTGAAGCTTCATTTGCGCCCAATTTGAAAGAAAAATCAGCTCAGGCAAAACGGAACCGAGCTGACAGCCAAGCTTGTGCTTTTCAGAGTAGACTGGCTCAGCATTAGACAACAATGACAACCTAATCTAAGCTCAGATATCCTGCCCAACTGCTGTATCTAATGCCTTTATAAGGCTTTCCAAGGTTCTGCCTCCCGGACTCGGACGTTTCGACCATCTTGGTGATGTAGCGCTGATACTCGACCTAGTGAACTGGAAGGGCACGCTTCAAGCGGAAGGTCAATGCGTGGGAGAATAAAAGGTCATCATTTTGGGATACAATGATATACCAGTACTTATAATACGCATTATATATATATATATATATATATATATATATATATATATATATATGTATATATATGAAGTGCGCATACCCGCACAATTGTACGTAGAACAAACCCTAGTTAACACTACTCAAGGTTTAAAAGACATCACTACGATATCGTGTTGTGCCGGGCTTCGAAACACAACACGTGCAGGGGCGCGATTCGATTTTTTAAGCGAGCATGTCCTTGTGGCCGGTGTGTGTGAGAC